TAGTAATGAACCAGCGTCCCTAGGTTACATAAAAAGCGTGAAATTTCTTAAGTAGCTGTGCAGCTACTAGTTTCTAAGAAGGTCTCTGCTGTGTGGATTTCGGTAGTTATTTAGTGGTTAGAAACTCTTCCTGTTAAAACGGGTCGAGGAAAGTAGAACATCGATTATAGCGAGAAATATACTGGATGTCGAGAAGACTTTGTTTACTCTTAAATCGCCTTTTCATTGTGTTCTCTCACCATGAAAACCCCACCCCTCTTTCCGTGACATTGCCTCTCACTCGAGGCATCTCCTAACAGGTAATGTGCGCCACAAAACATAAAATACTGCTTGAAATTTACCCACGTTTACAAGCTATTACTGAAATGAATTTTTTTTTAGTAAGGCAGCTCAGAGGAATTGGTGGTGTCCAAGAAAAATGTAAGCCTGGACGGAAATTTTTATAAATTATGAGACAAGGAAACTAAAATCGCCTACTTCTTTAGGACGATATATTTTTATTCCTTTTCTTTGGTTCTTGATATGTGACGAGAATGCTGCATTACGTTTGTATTCACATAGGCTACATATATGAATCTATTCATCTTATTAGAATGGACGAACACACATTATACAAACATGTTTCATAAAGAACACGGCTTTAAAATGTCAGCATGTAACACGAAATGCAAGGTATATTATTTATATGTATGTCTGTGTTATTATTACTATTCTCATATAAGTAATAGAAGACGAAAACAATGGGTGATTCACAATAAAAGTAATGCTCTCTCAAAACGGCATAAATTTTCAATAGTGTGATTCTGAGATAACAATTGATCAGACTCGGCTTAAAACAGCGGAATCGGTGAAAGCGTTTTGATCTTTATTGAGATGCAGTTCTTGCCACATTTCGTGATTTATGGATATATATATATATATATATATATACATACACATACACATACGATATGTAAGAAACATATATCTTATCTAATCTCATCTTACGCGTTTCTGTTGTTCTTAACGTTTTCAGATTAGTGCCAGAAAACATTTCAAAAACTTTCGCATTGTATAAATGAGATTATTACAAAAATTTATGTCATAAAACAATTTGTTTTATCAAGATCAAATTTTCCAAAAATACCTTTAAATAAATACTGTTTAAGACATACAAGGAATACGAAAAAAGGCTCTTTAACTTAGAGTCTTTTTAATAAATTTTGTGTGTAAGTGTCGGC